CCTGTTGGGTGGTGGTGGGTAAGGGAAGGGATCTTAGAGGACAGGTCAGTAGGTCCAGTAAACCACCATGGCACACATATACCTATGTAAGAAACCTGCATGTTCTGAAAAAGAGGTTTAATTGGCTCATGATTCTGTAGGCTTTACAGGAAGTGTGGTGCCAACGTCTTCTGGTGAGGCCTCAGGAAGCTTACAGTCCTTACAGAAGGCAATAGGGAGCTAACATGTCACATGGCAAGAGTGGGAACAAGAGAGAGAGGAGAAGTCAGGCTCCTTTAAACCATCAACTCTCATAACAACTCTCATATGAATTAGCAGAGTAAGAACTCACTTATTACCATTGGGAGGGCACCAAACCATTCATGAGGGATCTTCCCCCATGATCCAAACACCTCCTACCAGGCCCCACATTGAACATTAGGGATTACATTTGAAATGAGATTTGGAGGGGACAAACATCCAAACCACATCATTCTGCCTCTGATCCCCCTAAATTCATGTCCTCCTCACACATCAGAATACAACCATGTCTTTGCAATAGTCAACCAAAGTCTTAACTTGCTTCAGCATTAACTCAAGTCTCAAGTCCCAATTGTCAAGTCTCAAGCATCATCTGGAGATGAATCCATTGATCCTATGAGCCTGTGAGATCAAAAACAAGTTATTTACTCCCAATATACAATGGTGCTACAGATATTGGGTATACATTATCACTTGAAAAGGGAGAAATTGGCCAAAAGAGAGGCAATATGCCCATACAAGTCTGAAACTCAGCAGGACAGTCATTAAATCTTAAAGCTCCAAAACAATCTCCTTTGATATCATGTCCTACATCCTGGGCACAATGGTGTGAGATGTAGGCTATGAAGGCCTTGGACAGGTTTGTCCCTGTGGCTTTCCAAGATGCAACCCCTGTGGCTGCTCTCACAGGTTGGAGTTGAGTACCTATGGCTTTTTCACACTGTGGCTGCAAGCTGCCAATGGCTCTACCAGTCTCAGGTCTGGAGGGTGGCATCCCACTTCCCAAAGCTCCCCTAGACGGTTCCCTGGTGGGGACTCTGCAGGGGCTCCCACTCTACATTTCCCATTGGCACTGCCCTAGTATAGTTTCTCTGTGGGGGCTCTGCTCCTGTAGTAGGCTTCTTCCTGGGTATCCAGACTTCCCCATATATGCTCTGGAATCCAGTTGGGAGTTGCCAAGCTTCCTTCACATTTGCATTCTGTGCATCTGCAGGCTGAACATCACATGAAAGCTGCCAAGGATTATGGCTTGCTCCCTCCAGGGTGGCAGCCTGAGCTTTACCTTGGCCCAGTTGAGCTGTGGCTGGAGCCTGAGTGGTCGGATGCAGGGAGCACTGTCCTGAGGCTGTGCAGGGAAGTGAGGTCCTGGGCCTGACCCCCGAAACCATTCTTCTTCCCTAGGCCTCTGGGCCTGTGATGAGAAGGGCTGTCCCCAAGAACTCTGAAATGCCTTCAAGGCCTTTTACCCATTGTCTTGGCTCCTTTTTAGTCATGCTAATCTCTCTAGCAAATGATTGCTCAGTAGCCTGCTTGGATTTTTTCTACCATAGGGCTGGGCTACAAGTTTTCTAAATTTTTATGCTCTGCTGTCCTTTTAAATATAACTTTAAGTCTTTTATTTGCTTCCATATATAATTTAGGGTGTTAGAGGCAGCCATACCACTTCTTGAATGCTTTGCTGCTTAGACTTTTTTTTTTTTCCTGCCAGGTATCTTGTCACCATAATTAAGTTCAAACTTCTCAGATCCCTATGACATAAACACACTGCTGTCAAGTTCTTTGCCAGGGTTTAACATGGGTAATCTTTACTCCAGTTCCCGATAACTCCCTGATTTCCACCTAAGACTTAATCAGCCTGGACTTCATTGTCCATATCTCTATGAGCATTTTGGATATAACCATTTAATCAGTCTCTAAGAAGTTTCAAACTTTTTCTCATTTTCCTGTCTTCTTCTGAGCCTTCCAAACTCTTTCAACCTCTGCTCATTACCCGGTTCCAAAGCTGTTGCCACATTTTCAGGTATTTAATAGCAACACCCCATTCCTGGTACCAATTATCTGTGTTAGTTTATTCTTGTGTTGCTATAAATAAATACCTGAGACTGGATAATATATTAAAAAAAGATGGTTAATTGGCTCTCAGTTTTACAGGTTTTACAGAAAGCATGGTGCTGACATCTATCTCTGATGAAGTCTCACAAACCTTATAATCATGGTGGAAGGTAACAGGGAGTCAGCATGTCACATGGCATGAGCAGGAACAAGAGAAAGGAGGAAGAGCCAGCCTTTTAAACAACCAGCTCTCATGTGAACTAACACAGTGAGAACTCACTTGTTACCATGGAGAGGACATCAACCCATTCATGAGGGATCTGCCCCCATGATCCAAACACCTCCCACCAGGCCAGCCTCCAACATTGGAGATAATATTTCAACATGAGATTTGGAGGGGACAAATAGCCAAATCATATGAGTTACTAGTCTGACTTTCTCTGAAATAGGTGTATTTGGATTGTTCTCTGTTGTTGGATGGTAGAAATAGTTATATATAACTATTATATATAACTTTTATATATAATCTATATAAAAGATAGGTGAGTTATTTATAACTTAGAAGTAATATCCACTTGCATACTTCTTTAGTATGAACTAACTTTAGTATGGTTAGTTAAGTTTCATCATTAAGAATGACTTTCATTTAGTGAACATTTAGTGTTAAAAGTTAATGCTGGCTGGGTGTGGAGGCTCACGCCTATAATCCCAGCACTTCAGGAGGCCGAGGCGGGCAGATCATGAGGTCAGGAGATTGAGACCATCCTGGCTAACACGGTGAAATCTCGTCTCTACTAATACAAAAAATTAGCCAGGTGTGGTGGCGGGCACCTCTAGTCCCAGCTACTCAGGAGGCTGAGGCAGGAGAATGGCATGAACCCAGGAGGCAGAGCTTGCAGTGAGCTGAGGTTGTGTCACTGCACTCCAGCCTGGGTGACAGGGCGAGACTCCATCTCAGAAAAGAAAAAAAAAAAAAAAAGTTAATGCTGCCATCAGTCCTGTACTTCTGAGACATGGATTGTTGGATGCTTAAAATGGTTTATGATAAGAAGTCTTAAAGTTCTAATCTGACTTTTAAAGTTTTAAATTTCTAACAAAGATGGTAAAACAGACACTGGGCCCTATTTGAGAGTGGAGGGTGGGAGGAGGAAGAGAAGCAGAAAAAATAACTATTGGGTACTAGGCTTAGTACCTTGGTGATAAAATAAGCTGTACAACAACCACCTGTGACATGAGTTTACCTATATAACATACCTGCACATGTACCCCTGAACCTAAAATAAAAGTTAATAAAAATTTATTACGAATTAAAAATAATATACAACACCAAGAGTGAGACCTGATGTAAACTGTGGACTTTGGATGACAATGATGTGTCAATGAAGGTTCATCAATTGTAACAAATGTACCACTCTGATGGGGGAGGTTGATAACGGGAAAGGTTGTGAATGTGTGGGGTAGTGGGTATATGGGAAATTTCTATTCCTCTCGATTTTGCTCTATGAAAAGCAAAAACTTAAAGGACTTAAAAATTATAGTGAAGGCATTAAATTTGGAAAAATCAATAACCTAGTTCCTTACTATGAAATCATATGGCATAGTTCTCTAAATGTAACCTTTATATGTCGTTTTCATGGACTTCATACACACTTGCTCTAGGAATAAAAGAGCAAAGTATTTTCATGTTTCCTTTTTTTCTGAGTTTGTATCAGTACTGGGTGTGTGCAGGTGGGGATAGGAGGGTTATCTTTAGCTAATTTTAGAATTGAGTTGAATGGAGGAATTATAATTTTCCAGTAAAAAAATTCAAGAAGTGTTTTTTGCCTCCCAGGTGGTAAAATCATGCATACTTTTTATTTCCTTTTTTGGTCTCTATATTTTCCAAGTGTTCAACAAAGTGTGGTTATTAGTTTTTATAATAAAAGAGATTTTAGGTTATTTCTCTGATTTCTAAGAGTTAAAAAAAAAATAAAGTTTTAAAGTTCTAATCTGAAATTTTCAGTGACCACATTTCAGTAGTGTTCATAGGAATATGTACAATCAAGGCAAATATTTTGTCTCCACTCCTGATTTCCCTGATGACAGAATTTTCCTAAGCATATTCCTGGCCTTTCTTTTTGTCCCTCTATTCTCTCTGCCCTAGGAGGTTGAAGGATTTATTTGACTGGTAAATTTAGGAAGGTTCAGTCCTATTTATCTTCCTTTTAGAAAAAAGCTGTCTGCAGGGAGCAAGTTACCTCTATTTTTCTAGGAGCAGATTCTTCCCCTTTAGAGAAAGATCCTGTACTTGTTCAACACTGCCTATATTTAGATACCTTCTCTGCCTGCTTGTTTTTAAGTAAGCCCATTTGGCTCTCATACTAAGCTACAGTCTTCAATTTGTCTTTTATTAAAAAATAAATATATTTTTGGCCTTCATATGCTACTCTTTGTTTTATTTTTCAATTTGCTTAGAACATAGTCATGGAAGAAGGAAGCCATTTTATTGTTTCATATATTTCTCATGTCTGACAGTTGACATTCTTCCTGAATTCTCTATCATCAAGAAGCTTTGACTCTATAGTAAACACAATTTCTAAATCTAACGAATCTCATCATGACCAGCTCTCAGAGCCTACACTTGAACACTACTGTTTTTCTCCAATGGATGGAATTCAAGCTACTTTGCAATTTCAGAAAGCAGTCAGAAAAAAACAGCCTTAGGTTATCATTTTGATTTTTTAAGGTTACTGTTGATCCTGATGCTGAACACTGAGGGAAAAATGCTTCAATTACAGACAAACTCTTCCATAATAACACAGACAAATCTTCAAAACTCATATTATTTGTGACCAACTCCTGAAGAAATATACTTTTAGATAACCTTCACATCAAAGGCAGGTAAATCACTCATCATATGTACATATGACATTTCTGAATATAATTACCTCAGCTGTGTGCTTTGCCACATGCCCCACGATGACAATGACCTTCCCTTTGAAGTTCTGGAGCATAGCAGTGTAAAGGCCCTGGGTAAGCTCCCCTTCTGCAGTGAAGGCAGCACTGAATGGAATGTTGATGCTTCCTGAAATGTGACCACGAATAAAGCTGAGAAGGAAAGTTTAAGGAAAACATTTATTTGTGTGCAATCATGAGTGTCTGAGGGAAACTCACAGAGCTAGGTGACTCCCAGAAGAGAGTACTAAACATCTTCCAGCTCATATGTGTATTTATCTAAATGAAGTAAGGCACCTCCAAGAGAAAAAAAAAAATTAAATTTGAAAATGAAGTAGAAGAGAGAAAGGAAGATGACTAGCCAAAGATGTAAAAGGATTTTACATCAAAAGCATTTCTCATTACATAAACACAGATATGGGGTAAACAATAACCATATTTAAAGAGGTTCTATAATGAGTGGAGAGAGTGGAGATGGACTACATATCTTACAATTTAAATTTTCTAGTCAGCTGCTGCTTCATCATTTCTTTTAAAGAAAAGAATATGACATTAATAGTGAGAGAAAGAACCATAAATAAGTTCTGAAAAATGAAAGGAGAGAGAATCAACATTAACATTCCAGTGGACATTGTTTAGTTGACATTTTCTAGAATGGGAAAAGAATTTATGATCATGCATAGATTACCTTTGAAATTCATCAGCATTAGTTTTTCAAACATTTCTAATTATTCAATATTCCCAACTGTAGTTTTCCTGAAGAGTCATGACTTTTCTCTCAGAATATAATTACTCTGATGGTACTTTTTTAAAAAAAAAAACTGAAAGTACTTTATTTTCAGTAAAGATCTACTTTTTAAAATGAAAATTTTTTATAACACAAACTAAGAACCTAACAACTCATGTATTCTCAGCACCTATATCCACATCTGTCCAGGCCTGAATCAGTTGCCAGAGAGTGTTTCCATATTTATCAAACAACCTTTACCAACCATGAACATCTTCTCTTTTTTAGTGTGTTTAAAGTAGCAAAAGCAATACAAATCTATCCTGGTCAAATGCTGTAGCAGACATGTTTGGGTTGCCTGCCCACCTGCTGTTTTCTTGTTTGGAAGACCACCAGCCATTGACCCTGAGGAAAGGGTGAGTCTAGGCTGTCATATTGGTATCAGATGATCCCTATAACTACGACTGACCGGATGGTGGAGGGGAGGGTGATGATGGATATATGATGCAGGCCGAGCCAATGAGATTCTCTCCTTTGAAAATCGGAAATAAAAGACATAAAAGATAATGCTCAGACTGTGTTAAGCGTTACATGCAAAGTCACCTTTAAGGGCCTCTTCCATAAAATTTGTTCAGCTACTTATTAGAAAATTAGAAGACTCTGACTCTAAAAGAAGAACTGTTTAATAGATAAATTTAGTGACTACTGTATTTGGTTAAAAAAGTACCTATCTATATCTAAATAACCATATCTAGTAACTAGATCTATAATCATAGATAAGTATTAAGGTGATTTTGTAGGTTCAATATCACCTATTTATTATGTGCCTTTAAAGATTTTAATCTAAACTCCTTTCAGTTACTAGAAGTATGTCATAAAGTTATTATCATATTATCCTTGTGATTTGTTAAAATCTAGATTAAATATTAAAATGCTTCACAAAACATGACGGCAACAGAGTCTTTTTTGAAAGAGAAAGTTTTTCAAAATACAAAATGATTCCAAACCTTTTTTAGGCTACAGTTTGGAAAACAAGGCATAAAAGAAACAGAGTTTCAAACCACGCTTTCCTTATTCTTAATCTACTTCAACCAAAAAGTCTTGGATAATATCTAAGAACACTCATCCAAGAACACTCTTATCATGAAACTTCTAGCACAAAAATGACTGGGTAAGCATGAATGTCTTTAGACATGGTGGTTAAACCTCTAAATTTTCTATCATTACTGGCAAACAGCAGAGGTGAATGCATTATTGGCAAACAACAGAGGAGAATGAGATTGGCCTAGTTATAAATAAGTGTATTTACAATGAATAGCCTGTTGTTTAAATAAGTCAGACAATGAAGACAACTTTGGTCATTTAGAAATCTTTTCTTTTTTCCTTGGAAATTACCTACATTGCCTACAATACAATTTCTCATGTGACACATACAGCATTAGATGAAATAGAACTGCTTTAGGCAACTTCTAGACATTTGAGAGGTGGTCAGATTATATTGTAAATCTAGGCAGATGGATACTTTTTTCACTTGTTGAGTCCTTCATAATCAGAATAAAATATGAGGTATTTGGAAACTGAGCCAGGAACAGATTTCTGTATATTTTGTATTAGGAAGAATAAATAAAGAGGGAAATAGAAGAAAATTTTTGACATACGGTGACTGAATAACCATAGTTGACTGTCATCAGTCATGAGTAAAATCTGGCAAGTAAAGAGAAATGATGGAGAATATGTTGAGATAAGCACATTTTTCCAGGCTCTAAGAACTTTGGTTTTATTTCACTATATTACAGTGGAAAACAAGTATACACAGGACCTTCACACAAAGGTAGGGTTAGAGATGAACATGCAACACTACATATTTTAGAAGTATGACTGTCACTTTATTGCTTTCTGTCTTAGATAAAAATCTTAACCCTCTACACTAATGTTTTACATTTTAAAAAGGCATTTCTCATTATATAAACACAGATATGGGGTAAAAAATAACCACACTCAAAGAGGTTCTATAATGAGTATAATATTCAATAGTCAGACACTATGCTATTTTATAAACGAAGAATTTAAAAAGCTACAGCTTCAAAGAACCCAGTTCAGAGGAAATACTACTATTAAGGAAATAGTACCCAAAGTATTTATGGGGCAATTAGCCCCAATCACATATATATCATGATATTGTAATCCCAACAATGACATTACAATTTTTGGTTAGGTTTTGGCAAAAGTGGCAATAGTATCCATAAATACTAATTTTTAACTTTCAGGGTTCATAGGAAATGAGAATTTTTGATGACATACTTGAAAGAGTTAAAAGATAAAAAACATCATTACAGAAGTCAGCAGTAATTACAATGAAATCTCTAGACTGGAATAATAATAGTTATGAAAGCATAAAAGCATCCAGTTATTGTAGCAGTCACTTCACCACATGTTTGAATATGGTTGTTTACTACTATGAATGCACTACAGGATACATTCCAGTAAACATATGAATTTTCTTTGGCATATGGTGACCTTACATTATATATCTTACCCCGTCTTGGAATAAATTGTACCCCTCCCTGCAAATAAACCATTCAGATCAACATTCCATTTGGCAGATATTACCAAAAGCATTTGAATGTATACTTAGAACAAAATCAAAATTTTGCATTAAACAGAATTTGATAGCCCAAAGCACAGACAGATTAAAAAAATTACTGTAAGCTTCTGATAAATAACTTGGATTATCAGAATATCATTAACAGGTAGGGATGATGTATATTATCTTCTAGGTTTCTAAGATACGAAAACTTTCCTGTATTCATAATTCAGTCTACAAAACAATGCTGTAAGTAGATATGCTGTACTTCAATCAAACAGAAAAAAATCAGGTCTAAGTATATAGGTACAGTGTATAAGTAAATTACATGGTATTTAACCAAGAATATTCAAAAAGACTCTTTAATTTACAAAAAGATTTGAAAATTCCTTTAAAATATTGCTTAAAATTCAACACAGAAACCAGCTCATGTTTTTTTAAATCCTAAAAGAGCACAGCATTTTTGTTGGATGCCACACTTAGTGATGTCATATCTCTAAAGACAACCCACACCAGTATTTCACCAAACCACTCAAGAACATCTACCTACCTTTGCTTTTTGGCTGTTTGTCTGCTGGGTTAACTAATTATAATTAGTGTTATAGACTTTTCAGCCCAAACTGAAGGTTTTACCTTTAGTATATCAACAGCCAAAAAGAAATATGAAATTAAACCCATAGTTCTCTCATAGATAACATAACTAAATAGCATTAACTGATACAAAAATGATGTTTAGATATTATTATTTTCTTTGCTAAATCTATTGATACTTTGAATGGCATCACCTTCCCCCAAATCAAACAGTCAAAAATCTCATTTCCAACATCTTATTAATAGCAACATCCAATATGCTGCTGCTCTTATAAATCCTGTACTCACATTTTTATTCCCATTACCCCTTGCCTATTTCAGATATTGATTTGTCTTGAGCTTAAACTACTGTAGTAACTGTTTTCTCCAACTTTTGTCTTTTCTCTTGGAAATACACTTGATTTACAATATTGACAGAGAAAAAATTTAAAAGCAAAGCGTTCTGATTATCATATCCTTTCTGAGAAACTTTCCATGACAGCCTATAGGACAAAGCCCGTATTCCTCAGTTCAGTCCTCATGAACAGAACCTAACTACTTTAATTCTAACCAAACTAAATCATGCATGTTACCAATATGTTTTCTATCTCCTGTAGTTTTCTCCTTCTAAATACCTTTTTCTCCTTATTTTTGCACAAACATCCATTCTTCAAATGTTTCATCCATGAAATTTTCCCTTCCCACAGTATCTGTACATCTCTCATAACAGCAATTTGATTTTATATAAAATATTCTAATGAAAATGACTTCTATCTAAACAACTGATAGAAACGATGAGTATTATATTTATTTCATCTTTGAATCTTTTTTTTTTTTTTCCTGAGACAGTGTCTCATTCTGTCACTCAGGTCAGAGTGTAGTGGCACGATCTCAGCTCACTGTAAGCTCGGCCTCCTGGGTTCACACCATTATCCTGCCTCAGGCTCCTGAGTAGCTGGGACTACAGGCGCCCGCCACGATGCCTGGCTAATGTTTTGTATTTTTAGTAGAGACGAGGTTTCACCGTGTTAGTCAGGATTGTCTCGATCTCCTGACCTCGTGATCCGCCTGCCTCGGCCTCCCAAAGTGCTGAGATTACAGGCGTGAGCCACCGCGCCGGGCTCATCTTTGAATTTCTTGCAATGATTAATAGAATGCTTGGAACATCACTTACATATTTGGTGAGTAAATGAATTTCAGAATTTTGCCAAACCTGGAGTAACTAGTATCAGCAGCAAATATGCTAAGGTGCCTTCTGTGGCACCCTAACCA